GTAAATAGTAAAAAGGTTGTCGTGCATTTTGCATGTCGGAATTCACAGGTTTTGTCTATGGAAGCCTATTGGGCCCTAAAATAACACCAGAATATAAAAATTTTTAGGGCACAATTTATTGGTCTAATCTATATCATGTGCGATCTGTGAATTTTGTATATGTGTGTAGACTGGTCTGATTTCCGCAAGTTTCTGTCACAGACACAGGTTGTGTCACAGCTTCGGTTCGATTCTATAATAAATATGAACAACACACCTTTTCCTGAGCAGCTACGAGCGGCAATGTATTTTCGCAGTTTCTTTACTGCTCTGTCACGTTGTACTTTGTCATTGCAAGCAAGGCGTTGTGCAAAATGCACCTCGGGAGTGAACTCAACAACTGGTTCAGCCACCATGCTGGATTACCTTCGATCATGCATGCCCTCTGTTGGTAGAAAAATGAATTTCTCTATAAGGTAAATAGTAACTAAAATCCATTTTCTTACACATCTCATCAATTTTAAATATACAGTAAAACTTTTTAAATAGCTAGAGGACACTTTAGTGAAATATTAATGGGTATTTTAACTATTTACAGCAGTTATGAACTTTTAAAGCGTTTTTAATACAGGGGGCGCTAGTGTACGAAGCAATATGTCAGCGCCCAGTATGGCAACAGCAGTAAATAATTCAGACGACGAAGATGACTGGATTTTTCAGTCGTTCAACAGGTAGTTTCACGCAGCTATTTGGATAGATGTGCGACTGATATCTAGCTTTATTCACAGAAACTCTATATAGATTCAGCAGCATACTCATTAGACTCGGACCCGTTCTTCCTACTCTCACTCTGTAGGTACTCACAATCGGTCTCGAGTTTAGTCATGTACACGGATGTACACTACACTGTACACGCTCACACAGCCTTTTTTGCGATGCGAAATCGATAGATAGTGTGGTGCCTCGCACAACACTATCCAGAGAGACCGGGTACAAGATGGCGTTGCACAAAAGATGCGTTGTTCCCCGACCCCCGAAAGCGGTTAAGCCGCGCACTTCCGCGGGACTGGGCGCACGCGACCGCGGGGTGTTGTATGTAGCATCTCGCGCTCTCCGCTATACGAATTCGCGCGCCGAAGGAAGGCGGGCGCGCGAATGCGTATAGCGGGCAGCCTAACATCGCGCAGTTTTCGGGACACGTACATCGGCTCGGCTACATCGGCTTTGGAGGGGGGCCTTTCCGATTATAGATTGACACGCGTTTGTACATCCTCGCCGTCGTACCGTCACATGCCGTATTTTCGTACCTTATCTGGCGTTCTCCCACTCTCTTTCTCTCTTTCTCGCACTCCCCACGGTCTGTCTCTCTCTCTCTCTCTTTCGCTCGCTCCGCCGCCACGGGTTAATAAGGTATCTGTATACATGCATCAATGCTGCCGCAGCCAGGCACACACGCATGCACTTGCAGCGTTTAAATAAAATGTAATGCTAAATAAATACAAAATCTATTTACTACGAAAGTCACCGCGTCGCAAAAACTCCCCGAGCCAGCGTTTGTTGGATATAGCATTTCGACCGTGCTTGGTCGCCACGTGAGCGCGGGGGAGGAGGGAGGCTGGAATGTCGCGCTCTGCCGTCTTCGTAAAAACATGTGCATATATATATTTGTGTGTCAGTGTGGCGGCGTATTGTAGGATTAGCTACGTGTAAAAACTGCCACGGCCACGCCAGCACGTGCTCGCATGACGTGCCGTCGCCACGGGCAGCGCGGGGTCAAGAGGTTGATAAAAACCTCGCACGTACGGAGCCAGGCGCTTTTGGAGATAGCATCTAGAACGCGCCAGCCCACGTGGAGCGCCGTACACGTCTTCGTTAAAACCTCTGTGGTAGACGTAACGCTATACTCGGTCATCGCATAGCGGCCAATGAGCGAGCGCGTCATCGCTGATTGACAGCATTTCTTGGAGTTTCTTGTAGGAGCCACTACGTCTTAGCCATGAGGCGCGCCACCCCAAAAAAAGTTTAGGGTCCGTTTGGAGATGGCCTCAAGCCGTCCATCCCAAAATGTCGGTTGGATTGCGCCCAGTTTTCGCGGAGTGCGTTTTCAGACCCCTGTCTAAGGTATCTGTCTAAGGGGACAAAAAGGGGGCGGCGTATTCGCGTTGGGGCGCGGCCTCGCCGCGAGCTGTGCGCTGCGCGCAAAAACCGGGGCCGCAAGTCCGTCCAGACAGGAGAGAGAGACAATCTGTGATGTGGTCGCAGGAAAAATTTGTAAAACATTAGCTGATTCAGTGATTGCACAGGCACTTGCCCCTTGCCCTTGGAACGTCTCAATAAAAAAAAGGTAAATAAACACGAAATGTATTTACTACCAAAGTCTTAATGTTTCTCTACTCTATTTCGCCTATGATCACCTGTAAATGCCAGTCAAATGCTCATCTGCAACACACAAGTACACCGCACGCTGCATACTGGCACGGCAGTTAATGAACGCGGGCTATAGTACTAGAGCTAACCGCACGCTAGCTGCTGCACACTGACACTGATGCTGAGAGGGTCTATGTCCCCCAGGGTACTGTCGGAACGTACCCTGGGTACGGTCCGGTATACCGGAACGTACACTGGTACTATCTAATATGCCGGACTGTACCTCGCCTACTCCACTAACGAGTCTATGGAGTCGCCTACGCGTACTCCCTAACCCTAACCATATCAAATAGTTACCAGGGTACATTCCGGTATACCTGACCGTACCCAGGGTACGTTCCGGCAGTACCCTGGGGGACATAGACCCTATGAGCGACACTGACAGTGTGCAGCAGCTAGCATGTGGTGTACTTGTGTGTTGCAGATGAGCATTTGACTGGCATTTACATGTGATTATAGGCGAAATAGAGTAGAGAAACATTAAGACGTTGGTAGTAAATACATTTATTTACCATTATTTTTTTTATTGAGACGTTCCAAGTGCCTGTGGCTGTTTGGATGCGTAATAAACCGGCGTTATTAATTATTACTCTTAGCTGTCGAATCGGTCTATCTTATTCAGATTCACCTGGCTGAACTCTTTAACATCGATATAAATATAGGGTCATTAATAATTACGTGATTACTTTGTTAGCTTTACATAGGTTCTGCCTCTGCAATTAGTGAATTACACGTGACATTTCTTCCAATGTTGAGCCAAAGTTTTGCTTTCAATTGTTTTAATTACATACAGGTATAACAATTTGCACATGTATGACCTACAGCATCCAACACGAAATATTCAGTGGACAGCTAGCAATAGTAAGTAACCCTACGACTAGCTCTGTGGATTTATCTATAAATATATAATATATGCCCACGAGATCTAGTAGCAGCAATGCATAGCTTTCGTTTTATATAGCATTATAGCCATTATATCATATGCATCAACAATTTTTTAAATAGACATTTTCTCCCATTTTTATGAATATCAATGCACCAATCCACTTTCAGCTTATTTACTATTTAAAGCACACAACTTGGGAGGTTCGCTATTCGGTCAGTAGGTAGGCGGTTACGTAAACTTGTTATTATTTTAATCCGTAAAAATTGCCCTCGATATGGTATGAACCCGGTAAATTAGACAAAAACGGGATATTTCTTGAGAGCAGCATTGTTGCAACACATATCCATCATTGTTTCGCTAGCGGTCGTCATCGCTGGTTGTGAAAAGGAAAAGCGCAGTGAGATCATCGAACTTTCCCTTCCCGACAAGCTTCTTGCTGCCGCTGAAATACAGGTAGGTGGCGCCACCTCTCTGTCGGCGACATTAGGAAGTGTCAATGTGCTCCTTTTGAAGAAGTCGTTTCAGTTTGGCTTGACATTTGTGCAAATTTCAGTTTCTTGTCCTAGCAGTTGGTGCGACATAGATGTCACTGGTTATTGTGTGCGTGCATTGCATCAAGAGCTAATAATACCTATTATATAAAACACCTATAGGGTCTATAGATGTATTCTATGTATATATGTGTATTATTAGCTCTTGGTCGCTCATCTGTGGTGACGTGTGAATGCACGTGTGCTTCACACAACTCTGGTAAAGTCTGAGTGAGCGACTGTCGCATCAACGCAACCTGCATCCGTTATTGAGTCTTGTTTCATTCAAGGGCCTCCACAAGGACAGAGATTTCAGACTTGTGCAGGGCGGATTCTGCCAGCATGCGATTCACGCACTGCGGTGTGTCATCAAGGAGCGACTCATTGCCACGACGACAGCAGCAGACACAGGGGTCACCGTGTGGAAACTGGATTCAGAGGAAGGAGGTCGGTACATCAGTATTCAAACGGATGCTGCGCAGTCTACGGATGCTCCTGTGAATTTATCCTCCTATGTTGGGGAGTAGCGAATAATACAGAAATGCAGTACTACCAGGCAGCGTGTACTATATTGAGGATGGGTTATATAACTCAGGTCTCACAGCCTGACCCCTCTCCCCATCTACCTCTTTTGTTGAATCCAACGTGTCTTCCCGATCGCAGGCTCCGCCATGTTTAATCCCCGGTTCTGCTGCAGGCGTCATCTCTCCCGTGCGCACGGTGACGACCGGCGTGACCGGTAGCCCCCTGGCGGCGGCGGCAGCGGACAGCAGGGTCGCCTTCATCGACTCGCCGCATCGTGTCTCCGTCGTCGACGTCAGTTCTCCCGAGAACACGCTACACACGTGTGAGTGTTCACCGCGTGCGTGTGATACCCTGGTTAAATAATACCCTGCTCAGTGTTACCTAATAGAGTGCATCATCTTGTAAAATTGCATTGGGATTAATGTGGGGATGGAGAGGGCAAACTGCTTACGGAATAAGTACGATGTAAAGCCTCCCTCCTCTCCCCCCTCCCCCCACACACACAACACCCACACACAACTACCCCAGTATGTTTTCTGGAGAATTTATAATGTCGTTAATTGCGATGACGTTGACGTTCGCTTGCGTCGGGCGGCGATCGATAGATGGCGCTCGCTTACGTTCACTCGCCCTTTTCCACGATCAGATGACGTCGCGGACGACTCCTCCGCCATGGAGTTCACGGACGCGCACACGCTCGCGACGTGTGGGGGCGCCACGGGTCGGCTCACGCTGCGGGACACGAGGTGCGACGACGGGGCGACGGCCGGGATCACGGAAATCCCCGTCACGCGCACGGGTGACGCCGCGTGGACGTTCTGCTCAGCAGGTGGCAGCAGCTGTTGTAGGTTCTATCGGCTGTCGTCGGGCGGCCGTCTCCTCTGCACCGACGCCCGACGAGTGAACGGCACTTACTGGGAAGCGGACCTTGCGATGAGCTGCGCACAGACGTGGCAGCACCTCTGCATGCAGGCATCGCCGGCGACACCTGGTGTTGTCTCAGTATCCGGTACGGGTTCTGCGTCTGTGTAATGTCTGACGTGCCTTCGCTCACTCGCACGCAAATGCGTCTGATCTCTGTAATTGTAACTTCCTAGTTGTGTGGTGAAACTGATGCCTTTTCTCATTGTATTTCACCATGTGGTCACAGCCACCGATCCACAGATATTAGACCATAGACACAGAATCTGAATTCCCAGCTGCAGATGCAGCCAAAGCCAATAAATTCACACGCCCAGAAACCACATTAACAGCTGCAGATGCAGCCATAGACAATACAGTCACAGACATACAGAGCAGATGCAGCCATAGACATTACATTTACAGACACAGAAACCACATTCATAGCTGCAGATACAGCCATAGACAATACAGTCACAGACATACAGAGCAGATGCAGCCATAGACATTACATTCACAGACACAGAAACCACATTAACAGCTGCAGATGCAGCCATAGACAATACAGTCACAGACATACAGAGCAGATACAGCCATAGACATTACATTTACAGACACAGAAACCACATTCATAGCTGCAGATACAGCCATAGACAATACAGTCACAGACATACAGAGCAGATGCAGCCATAGACATTACATTCACTGACACACAGAAGGCAAATTCACAGACACAGACCCCACAGACATCAAATGCCGCGAGTACGAAAAAACCAAAGCACTCCTTACTAGGCTGCAGTCCCCATTAAGGCAGACACCTAGTTTTTAGGCGTGCCGTCGCGAATACTTGGCTCTGCTCGATAAAATTCACGTTTCACGATTTTTCCCCCTCGACAGGTTTCGACAGCAACGTACGCCTTTACGACCTCTCCGCGTCTCCGACCGAAAGCCAATCGCAAGAGGCGCAGCAACCGCGCGACGAGGAAAGATGTCGCTCGGCCGCGCGGCCGATGTTTGTGCACGACGGACACTCTGCCTGCGCGAACACGGACGCCGCGGCGACGGCGGTCGCCGTGACGACGCACGCGTGGCATCCGGAGCAGACGAACCTGATTCTGTCGTCTGCTAGCGACGGCAGTCTACACGCGTGGGAATGGAGGGAACCGACGACATGACTCACGCGACGAAATTCACATTGAGACATTCCGATGAGGTGGCCATCTTGTACGTTTACCGCGTCGTTTCGTACGAGGAAATCAACACGGGTGACAGCTAAACACCGTCAGATGTCTGGACACCAATTTGGAGCACCGTGCATCAAGCTTACTGAGATTTTTGACCCTGTATACAGATTATGTACAAATGAAACCATTGTTATAATAGAATAATCTACTTTAAAATAGAATATACATGTAACTGAAATTCACCTGATTGCACTGTTATCTATAAACACATGCACATAGACATGTGCACGCACACACACACATACACACATCTACACGTGTATATACACATGTACATTATAGCCTCGTCTACACGACGAAATTTAACTCGAGTTAAGCGTTAACTCGAGTTAACGATTATGTAGCGTCTACACAACAACACCCGTGCGTGCGTGCGTTTGTGTGTACGTGCGTGTGCACGTCTGTGTGTACGTGCGTGCGTGCGTACGTACGTCTGTGTGTACGCACGTGCGTGCGTCTGCGTGTACGTGCGTGCGTCTGTGCGTGCGTACGTCTGTGTGTACGTGCATGCGTGCGTCTGTGCGTGCGTACGTACGTCTGTGTATACGTGCGTCTCTGTGTACGTGCGTGCGTACGTCCGTCTGTGTGTACGTGCGTCTCTGTGTACGTGCGTCTCTGTGTACGTGCGTCTCTGTGTACGTGCGTGCGTACGTCCGTCTGTGTGTACGTGCGTGCGTGCGTACGTACGTCTGTGTGTGCGTGCGTGCGTGCGTCTCTGTGTACGTGCGTGCGTACGACCGTCTGTGTGTACGTGCGTGCGTACGTACGTCTGTGTGTACGCGCGTGCGTGCGTCTGTGTGTACGTGTGTGCGTACGTCTGTGTGTACGTGCATGCGTGCGTCTGTGTGTACGTACGTGCGTGCGTACGTACGTCTGTGTAAGTGCGTCTCTGTGTACGTGCGTGCGTACGTCCGTCTGTGTGTACGCACGTGCGTGCGTGCGTACGTACGTCTGTGTGTATCAGTGGGCGTGTGTACGTATACGTGCGTGCGTGCGTACGTCTGTGTGTACGTATACGTGCGTACGTCTGTGTGCATATACGTGCGTACGTCTGTGTACGTATACGTGCGTGCATGCGTGTGTATACGTGCGTGTATTTGTCGTTATGATGATTGTACGTATATTGCTATACGTGCGTACTATTGTAAGTACAAGTGTTGCCGCCTATCGTGGAGTTATGTACTATTCGCTAACTCAAGTTAAGCGTCTATACGGGGCCTTAACTCGAGTTAGCTTAACCTCGATCCACTGGCGAGGTTAAGCTAACTCGAGTTACCTTAACTCGATTTGAGGCCCCGTATAGACGCTTAACCAGAGTTAAATTTCGTCGTGTGGACGAGGCTATTAGATGCGAAAAACCTTTGCCACGAAAACAGACTGCTAAGATATATATATATATATATATATATATATATATAGATATAGTAGATAGATATATATAAATAAATAAATATATATATATATATATATATCCTGATCTGTTTACCGCATCCCACAGTATCGATGGGTGTCACACACATCAATAGAATAGTCTGGTTGCTGACCGCCAGGTAGCTAGCCATTTTTGTGCCAAAAGTTCCGAATTGACTGAATGATAACTGAGTAGTGAATGGAAACAAGAGCTGTCACAACCAATGCACATGTCTTCCTGTTCACATGCAATACAATCTTTTACAAGCCATTACATCACTGTTTACTGCGGATATGGAAACCACGAAGGCATAAAATGAGCACAATAAACCCCTCTCCTTAAGTTTTTATGTGATATTTGTTTATTTATCACAAAATTCAGTCGATGACCACTCCAACTCTTTAAATATTTCAGCGATAACATATCAACACGTACAATCTGGACATGATAAAGAGGAAAGTGTATATAAATATCAGTTTCTGTACATTTAGAACTACAACGTTGTCACTCAGTCTCCAGTATGGCAATAGTACAACCGCTGCATCCAGCTTTTAACCTAGTCTAACATGTACAACTAGACCTCTGGCCGTTACACATGGAGCAAAGTATCAGTAACACGGACACAGCCGAAGCCAACGCTACACCAGAGTTCAACCCGGCCTGCCACAGATCTGACAGGAGTATATCTATTATAAAACGACACCAACAATCCCGGTCAGTTACAAACACGGTCGGTTGCGAAACCGATCGTATTTTGCGCGGTTGCATTTCACGCTGGGAGAGATGAGGATGTGCAGGGAGCACGATACCGTGAAGCACGCTCAGTACCATTATTCACAGCGCCGGGCATCGGCGAGTTCCGCGTCAGTGTGGCGTACGTCACCGCCACGCACGACGTCACGCGGTGATGCACGACGTCATGCAACGACGCACAAAGCAGACGCACGCTCCGCGTGATAACGTCGCATAAGCTGCGAGTTTCGGCGACGATGAGTTATAGACTCGTGATAGGTTGTGTTGCTCACTCTGTTTAGTGCGATGACAAACACGAGGATATCTAAACTAACTTATATACATAAATACGTATATATATATATATATATTATATATATATATATATATATATACATACATACATATACATATACACGTATATACATATGTATATATCCACTAGAAACAATAATTGCAGTCGGCAGGTGGTATGGCTCTATATACATGTACACATATGTCAACAGGTGTGGTGTAGGATAGAGACACGCTCTCTCTCTCTCTCACTCTCTCAGATGTGCTGTGTGATCAATGTAAACACGGGATCGGAGGCATCCTTGCGCACAGTCAATCGCAATTACTGCCGAAAGGAAACGCACACCAGCAAACAACACGCAGGATGCCTGCGTCGTATCATTTTAGAGATGCGTGTTTTGATGGGGGGGGGGTGGATGCAGGAGAGGGGTTGGAAGTTGCAGCGATAGGTGCAAAAGTCTCAGAACGCATCTCAGAGGTGGTGGGGCGAGATTTCGTGGCAACTGGAAACCTCGTGCAATTCTGGAGACGGTGGTAAACAACAATGAGCGATACACGGGCACAAATACGCATGCGCAGAGCAGACAATATCATAGTACGTGGATGAAGTACACTATGAGCTACACGAACGAAGAAAATCATTACTACCGAGACAAAAACCAGACGACAACACTGCAACCGGTCGCAATTCATGCAGATGATCGACAGCAAATGGCTAGCAAGGGGAGGGGAGGACAACACGGCGGCGGAGGGAGAGGTATATTAACACGGGAGATGGGTGGTGTAGCATGGTAGGTTATTAGGAGAGGGGTATTATATATTAGCACGGGGGAGGGGTGGTGCAGCATGGTAGGTTATTAGGGGAGGGGTATTATATATTAGCACGGGGGAGGGATGGTACAGCATGGTGGGTTATTAGGGGATGGGTATTATATATTAGCACGGGAGATGGGTGGTACAGCATGGTAGGCCATTATTAGGATGGTATTATAATATTAGCACGGAGGATGGTGGTCCACAGCGTGGTAAGGTTATTAGGGCGGGTATGCATTATATTAATGACGGGATGAGCGAGTACAGCATGGTGGGTTAGGGAATGAGGGGTAGTGAAGCGCGGGGGGTTAGGAGAGGGGGATGAAGCATGGGTAAGGGTTATGGGAGGGGTGTGAAACGAGCAGGGGGTGTAGGCAGGGGTGATGAAGCATGGTGGGTTTAGGGAGGAGGGGTGGTGCAGCACAGAGGGCTTTTGGGGGAGGGGGGGGGGGGGGTGGTAAAATGCGCGAGGGTTAGAGGAGGTGTGGTGAAGCACGGGGGGGATTAGGGAGATGGGCTAGTGAAGCGCCGGGTTAGGGGGATGACGTGGTACAGCGCGGGAAAGGAGTTAGGGGGAGGGGTGGACAGCGCGGGAGTTAGGGGAAGGGTGGTACAGCGCGGGGGATTAGGGGGAGGGGTGGGGGTCGTACACGAAGTCGCAAACAAGAGCAATGGGTGGTCGGGGAGTATAGGAAGTGGTCAGGGGAGATCAATGTGGGAGTGAAAGGGTAGATTGCAGTGTTGCTAGCCACGTCACCACTGTTCGGACACGTGTCTTGCATACAAAACTGCCAACGCGCAGCTTGGTCTTCACTCTCAGCCGAAAGCTCAAGGCGAGCGTCCGAAGAAGAAGAGGAAGAAGAAGAAGAAAAAGAAGCAGAAGAAGAAGACGAAGAAGCAGAAGAAGAAGAAGACAGTGACGAATACCAACAACGTCGACACGACATGTGGGGTTTGCAGCGGCAGATGCCCAGACCTCCATCAGGGACATGACGTCAGTGCCACCTGTCTGACATCAGCGGAACTAACGCCGCCATCTGAAGCGCCTCCATGAAAGCTAATTGTGAAAAAGAAGAGCGAATATGGTGCGGCGAATAGGAATAAAAGCCATTATTAACGGCGAATAGGTGACCGGACCGCGCGCACGGGCGAGACCAGCCGGACGCATATAGATTCTTAATATCTTACAACACCATCATCACTCACACGTTTATGTACAAACATCTACCATCAATCTCAAGATCAAAAACGGGGAAAATATTCAATATAATAAACCTATGGATCATAACACGAAACTGAACACGTATATCGTCAGGAGTATATAATAGAGATCTCTATTATGTACTCTTGATATCCTACGACTGGTACAAAAAAATCAACAATGACTGCTGAGTCGTGACGTCACTCGTCGAGGGATGGGCGAGCTGTAAGGGTTGTGAATATGGCTGCCACACAGATGCAACCATTGCTGCAAATGATGTGACGTGTGAAACCTCATAACCACATGCCGTGGGATCTGTTCGTTTCCTAATTCTAGTGCCTTCTTTAATGAGAAACTACGTGGCAACATTCCACAATGCCGAACATAGTTCGACGTAGAACTAGTAGTGATATTAGGCAATGCCGAACATATTTTGACGAAGAACGTGAAGCGATGTTCCGCAATGAGCGATCATCGCAGCGCGCTTAGAAGCAACAACTGACAACGACTAACTGAGTGAGCGTACGACCGGCGAGCGAGATATGACCAGCAACCTCAGCGAAGAGCCGACAATGCTTCTGCAGGGATGGCGTAGATGCGCTACTCAAACACGTGACGTGGCGTGTAACACGATGCAGTGACACCACCACGCGACGCCATGTCGATTGCCTAAAGTGCGCGTCGAAATGATGCCGTTGCTGATTTGGCAGTCATTCACTCAAGCTCTTCGATCCTGTAACATTCGGCATAGCCAACATCGGTCAGCATCCAGCCAACATCCAGCCAACATTGCGCAACATCCAGCCACCATTGCGCAACATCGTGCAACATCGGCCAACATCCGGCGACGGCAAGATACGAGCGCACGTAGTGAGGAGACCCATCCAAGCAGCCGCTGTGCAGCGCTGCCTTCAGACGTTGCTTCGATCGATAACCCGCCAAGCATTCTCCCGAAGACGTCGTTCAACGCACATTTACTAAGAGCTGTTCTTTCGGAGGGAGATTCCGTAAGAAGGGACAATCCAGACAAGGACGCGACCCACCCCCCAAGACGAAGACTCATGCACACAAACAATAATTTCCTAACGATAAATGCAACTAAACCTTACCCCACTGGACCTTCTCGGCTTTCTCTATACAGTCTCTTTCCTGCACGTCACCAGCGGCTTGCCCGGGTGCAAAGGCAGAGAGAGGCGCGCGTTCGCAAATGGACAACAACAACAAAAACACACCTAACTATGGACCCAGCCTTTAAATAAAACTCGACTTTAGGATTGAGATCAACGAAAAAAATCAACGCAAGTGATCATATACTTAGTATCGGTATAATATTGGGCGTCTGCATAAAAAGGAAACGCGCGCGAGAGATGCAACGCGGGTGACCCCCCCCCCCCTGTTCTCGGAAGCTCGATAGAGCGACGCTTACAATCGCGTTGACGTAGCGATTGTGGCGCCACCACACGGCCGCCGCCGCATCTCGCTAGCCACCACTGGCTCGCCGTTATCCGTCGAACAACCTTCGTAACAAACTTAAAAGCGCACGTTTAATAAAAGACGGAGCTGGCAGCGCTCGGGGGGTCGTAGGTGGCGCCACGGTTGGGAGCGCGGACGGTGAGACGCCACACACCGTGCCGCGAGAGTTGAGAGACTCGCGTCAAAATGCGACGCCGAACAAAAATTCGGCGCGGCCGTCGACTTGCTCGACTCTCGTCATATCGCTAATTAACGAATGCTAATTAGGCATTCGATTTTAGGCTCGACGCCCCGCGTAAGCGTCGAACAGGCAGCTGCTCCCTGACAGAGAATGGATCACGCACCACATTGTTGACAGGTATGCGGCAGGGTGGTTGCTCTCACACAATTTCCCATATATTCCTATTTGCGGTGAAGAAGGTAGTGGGCACGCGCTGGGAATTCCCCCCTCGATGGAACCACGATCGGTCGTCCCCCTGACCGGCGGATAAATCATGCTGTCAAGGGTCTCCTGCGCAGCCGCTCTCTGTTTTCATGCTGTCCGCATTGTTTCGACGCGAACGCTCTCAAAATTCCAAAAATGAGACAAACGATCGAGAGTGCCACCTGGCGGGGAGAGCGCCACCTGGCGGGAAGAGCGCTACCTGGTGGGGGAGAGCGCCACCTGGCGGGGAGAGTGCCACCTGGTGGGGAGAGCGCCACCTGGCGGGGACAATGCCACCCGGTGGGGAGAGTGCCACCTGGAGAGGACGCCACCTGGCGAGTAGAGCGCCACCTGGCAGGGAGAGCGCTACCTGGAAGGGAGCCACCTGGTGGGGAGAGCGCCACCTGACAGGGAGGACGCCACCTGGCGGGAAGAGCGCCACCTGGAGGGGAGCCACCTGGTGGGGAGAGCGCCACCTGACGGGGAGGGCACCACCTGGCAGGGAGGGCGCTACCTTGCAGGGAGAGCGCCACCTGGTGGGGAGGGCTCGCGAATGAGGACATGAGGTACGCGAAATCTTCGAACAGAGGCCATAGTACGGACTACGATATCACAGCTTGGTGGTTGCAGGATCTCTTACCGGAGCGGACACCCTCTTAGGGTCTCCGACTAAAACGATAAGATGTTACCTCGGTAACCATCAAGCGTACGCGGTTACCATGGTTACCGCATTGTTACACACAGTGTAGTAATAGGACAATCAATCTAACACACGGCTATCGTCAATGATACAAACCATATAAAACATATACGGCCACATAGAGAAATACGGCCGCGCACACTGATATCTACTCCATTTTTCCTCTCTCGGGGCGATAGAGTACACAATCACACACGCACGCATGCACGCACGCATGCATGCACGCATGCACACTCACACACACGTACACGCACACACATACACACACGACGTCGTCTTCTTGCTATATTTATAGTTGTTGCACGATGTCTTCACTTTGGTTTCTCTCGTAAAGCACCTGGGGTACGTTAACGCCCGCGCCGTGACACGATTGGGGCGAGGCGAGACGGCGGCGCGAGGCGGCGGGGGGGGCGGGGGGCGTAGGGTTATCCGAACCTCTCCTTGATGAGGTACATCAGCTTCTTCTTGCCCTTGTAGATGAGCTTCATGTGCTCGACGAGCTGAGCAAACTGGATGTGGCCGTCGTGCGCGAGCAGAAACGTCTCGCGCGCCTTCGTCAGAAAGTCGATAAAGTCGCCGTAGTGGCGCGGCGAGATGTGCGTCAGCCGCGAGTGCGTCGTGTTCACGTACGCGCCGATCGCGGCGTCGAGCAGCTGCCGCAGCGGCGACTTGTCGTACGAGAGCAGCTTCAGCGACGAGCGCCGCTTGCTCGGGTCAACGACGGCGGCGGCGGCCGGCGACGCGGCCATGCCCGGCGCCGTCATCGTGCAGCGGCGCAGGATGTCCGACAGCACGGTCGCGCACTGAACGTTCTTCACGACGAGCGGGATGATGTTCGTCAGCTCGGGCTTGCCGAGCGAGTGGCTGAGCGCGCACGCCCAGTGGATGTCGTTGATCGCCGGGTGCGTGTCCTGGTTGTAGGCGAGCGTGAGGTTGCGCATCGCGAGCGCGGCGAGCTTGTACGCGCGGCCCGGGTAGCCGCGGTGCTCCATGTAGCGCGCGATGTTGAACAGCTGGCTCGAGTCCATCACGCTGACGGCGGCATCAACGACGATCTGGTAAGCCGTCTCGAAGGCGACCGCGTCCTTCTCGCAGAGCGTGAGAGCGGCGAGCGCGCACGACTGCGGCTCCTTGGTGGCGCACTGCAGCGCGAGCGAGCGCGCACAGCCCGCCAGCTCCTCCTGCTGTACGTAGTTGACGTTCACCTGCAGCATCGTCGTGTGCGACATGATCGTCGTCGCGACCATCCCTGCGGCGAGAGAGAGAGAGAGGGAGTTAGACGCGCGGTGAGAGAGAGAGAGAGAGAGAAAGATCAGAACAGGTCAGAACATGGAGCGAGACATGGAGTGACCGGCAGTGGTGTCCGGTCTCATCCCGACTGAGGACAGAGATGCGTGTGCTGCTCACCCGTCGCCTCGGTCGGTGTGAACAACGTGTACCAGTTGTGCATGATGGAGACGAGAGCCTTGACACCGATGTCCGTCGCGCACGTGACGAGCCAACGCACCATCTCGCGCCGCCGCCACGGGCTCGGCGTCGGCGTCAGCGTCATGCGAACCACCTACAAACAAGCGAACATCAGCATCAGCGTACGTGCGAACTCAGTGGAGATTTTTTGCGCGAAACACACGAATCGTAGAAAGACCGAATAGGGAGAAATTAAGTACTGTTTGGAATTGAGAAAATGAATGGGAAAAATCGAAAGTAATCTAAGAACGACAGTAAGCAGTTGTACACATGGCTTGAAATGTTCACTAGCCAGTTAACGCAGTGATTTGTATAATCTGCTTAACCCTAACAACACCTACCAGTCTCTGTGAGTGATGTGCTGAACCTGTTTTAGCCATCGATATAAAAATCTATCATATATAAAATAGTCTATTCTATAGTATTAGTCTATGATATGGAATTACAACAAAATGACGGTATCGCAATGAAAGCATGATGGAACGACGGATCGATGGCAACACGGCAGAACAAGGACAATAAAGTGGAATGATTGCATCACGAAGGAATGGCGGTACAATGGCAACAATATAGTGGCATGATGGGGACACCACAGTGGAAATAGGACAGTGCAACGGTACAACCACATCGCGAGGGAACAACGTCCTGCACGATGAACCGACGGTGGCGCCCTCACCTGCAGGCCGAGTTCGAACGCGACGTTGACGAGCGGCAGGTGGCGCGGGCCCTCGACGGGCGTCGCCATCTTGAACGCGTCCTGCGCGAGCTTGAACAGGTGCGTCGAGCTGTGAATGTTGCACTGCGCCGACTCGAGCACCGTCTGCAGGCACGGAATGTCGCCTGCAAATGCACAAAGGTCAGCCGCACGCGACGCGACGTCATACGCCATCTTCCCCCGCTGATGGTGCGGCAGCGGCGGCGGCTGCGGAGGCTTGTAGAGGTGGCGGCTGCGGTGGTGGTGGAAGCTGCCGCCGTGCGCGATTTCGAGCACGGTCTGCATGCGTGGATACTCGCCTGCAAGCAACAACAACAAACATGCGGCCGTTACACACGAGCAGGTTCACGCACGCACGCACGCACGCACGCACGCACGCGGGCATGCACGCACACACGCGCGCTCGCCGGCATGCAATCACACACGCGCGTGGGCACATGCACATGCACGTACGTACGCATGCACATGCACGCTCGTGCGCATGCACATGCACGTACGTACGCATGCACATGCACGCTCGTACGCATGCACATGCACGTACGTACGCATGCACATGCACGCTCGTGCGCATTCACATGCACGTACGTACGCACGCACATGCACGCTCGAGCGCATTCACATGCACGTACGTACGCACGCACATGCACGCTCGTCTCTCTCTCTTTCTCTCTCTCTCTTCTCTCTCTCTCTCTCTCTCCTCTCTCTCTCCTCTCTCCGCTTCGCTGTCTCTATTCTCTTCTCTCCTCTGTCTCCCCCTCTCTTCTCACACACTCACGTACCCCACTCACTCACTCACTCCTCACTCACTCACTCACTCACTTCACTCACTCACTCACTCACTCACTCACTCACACTCACTCTTCTCTTGTCTCTCTCTCACTCAATCTCACTCTCACATCTATCTATCTGTCTCTCTTCTCTCTTTCTGCACGGAAGAGAAAATTCACGAAACTTCCAAGTATATATTCAAATCAGTAACACATCTATTCTTGCAATTGATCGCAAAAGAATGCGTGCGGTTTCGAATTCGAACGCTATAGAGGTTTTCATCACTATGGTGTGAATACGGATGAAATTTCGTGCTTTCACCAATCTCTGGTGGGGAATCTAACAACAAGCTTTCGTAAGTTTCCAGGCTGCTATTCATTATGCTAGCACGTAGGGCGTTGTCTGACAACAAACCTCGGCGCATACTTCTCGCCGATATCTGAGTTGAAGCCACTTAATGCGAGCCGTGGTCACGTGACACGTCCACTCTCACTCGATACCATCTCGCATATCAGTAGGTTCATGTGTCTGTGTTTGTGGTGCTCGTGGCGTAAG